TTGCAAAACCTGCGTGGCATATTATAAGCCAGGTCCCTTTGCCCATTAGTACTTTCGACGTAGACGTTTGTGTAACATTTCTGTACAAGAACGGGAAAGCGTGTGATTGACGTTTAGCCATGTCTCGTCAATGAATACGACGTTATTCCAGTTATCGATTTTTCGTTTCCTTTAAAAATGGTATTCGTTTTAAAATTATATCATAACGTTCTAAAAGAACTTCATTTGTCTGTTTTGTTTTATTCAAAACCAATATCTTAAAATTTTGGATAAATTTGTTTTATCTCCTTTAAACAAATCGGCAGCTTTCAGATACCAAAAGCTTGGTACTATTAATGTATTCATTCCTCGAATAATAATAACCATTTGTATGTGATTCTTTATTGTTTTGTTCTGCGTTTTTTCGGATTTCGTAAAATATTTTCATCCATGCCAGTTGAGCCGAACTTTTCTTTATTAATATTTGTTATTGTTCGTTTGTTAACTCCAAGCGCTTGGGAAACGCGATCTTGTACCCGTTCGATATCCATCATTTTGCCTTTCACGCTCAGAGTAATCTTGAAGCTTAATGATTAGCTCACGGATTTCACTTTTCAATGTTTGTTCACGTTTCGGCACCTTTTTATCCACCTAACAAGGTACAACAAAACACAATGGAAGTCTAATTTAGCGCCAATATCAGTGTTAATAAGCAGGAATAGTCAATTAATCGAAAGCAAAGTCACAAGAAAAACAGAACGAGAAATACAGGAGAACGTAGTCTATGCGCACGAAACAACAACAGACGAGTCTTTCAGCGTTACAAATTGGCCGCCCAACACACCATTTGGGGTTGCCATTTTTTACCATTAATAGACAATAAACAAAACTTTAACTTTAAACTTTTTTTCATATAAGTAAAAAAGTAGTCCCCGTGTAGTGGCGGGTAAGAATACTCACTACACCATATCTTCCCGTGGGTGTCGTAAAAGGCGACAGAGGGAAACTGAGGCAGAGGATGGGCAGCAGCATCTTTCTGATAACAGCAAAACAACAATAAAAAAACTGCGGTTGGCAACCCGCTCGCCAAGCGTGGTAACTATGGCAATATACCCCCCATGAAAGTAACGAAGAGACGGCCCCCAGTCCCCGGCGGTCCCGCTATGCCTGGCTACGGTGGCGACCATGGTAACGGCGGTGCAGGGGGTGCTAAGAATCTCCGGTGGAGGTTCGGTTGCCACCTACGACGACTCGACCTGGCAACTTATATAAGGCACGCACCCTGAGGACTGACGAGAAGATCCTGGAGCTGGAAGAAGCAATAGACAAGTTGCGCTGGAATGTCATAGGACTATCCGAAGTTCGAAGAGAGGGGGAGGACAAGGTAATCCTCGAATCCGGTAATTTGTTCTATCACCGGGGGGGCGACCATCTGTCCCAAGGAGGTGTCGGATTTATCGTCCACAACTCTCTCGTTAACAACGTTGTAAAGATTGGGAGTGTGTCGACAAGGGTTGCGTACCTTATACTCAGAATCACCTAACGGTATTCGCTGAAGGTCATACAGGTTTACGCACCAACCTCGGCACACCCCGATGAGGAGGTGGAGGAAGTGTATGAGGATATCTCTAGAGCCATGCATTCCTCCAAAACCCACTATACGGTGTTAATGAGAGACTTCAACGCAAAACTAGGCACAAGAGAGAACGGTGAGCTGAAAGTAGGGAAATTCGGAATAGGGCAACGGAACCCAAGGGGCCAGCAGCAGGCCGACTTCATGGAGAAAGAGGGACTCTTTATGATGAACTCTTTCTTCCAGAAGCGGCCCCACAGGAAGTGGAACTTGCCGAGCTCCGACGGTTCGACAAAAAATGAGATTGACTTCATTAGGACGACCAGACGACAACTGTTCAGTGATGTCTCCGTGATCGCGAGGGTGAAAACTGGTAGCGATTACCGAATGGTTAGAGGCACACCGAACCTAAACGTTAAGTTGGAGAGGTCTCGTCTAATGAAGTCAACGCTCCGTCCCCCTCTTGCTCTAATCCAAAGTCCCGAAACCTTTCAGCTCGAGCTACGAAACCGTTTTCAGTGCCTAGAAAATTGCAATGAAGTGGATGATAAGAATGACAAGCTCGTGGAAACTGTCCATGCGGTCGGATATAAGTTTTGCAAGACCCGCCGCAGAAGAACACAAAATCTCTCCGATCACACTCTTAATCTGATGGCTGTTAGAAGGGAGATGAAGCTACATTCTTCAACAGACTTGACAGCATACAGGCATCTGAACAGACAGATCTCCAAATGCATGCGGCACTTACGCAACTTCAATACAGCTCGTATTGAAGAAGCGATCGAGCGGAACCAAGGCTCCAAAGTCTTTGCCAGAGATCTGTCTGCCAGAAAGAGCCAACTGTCAAAGCTGAAGACAGAATGTGGCAGCATCGTTTCTGGGACACCTGAGATTTTGAGTGAGATTGAGAGGTTCTATGGGCAGCTGTACACGTCATCGATGGAGCCACACGCAAGTGTGAGTAACGATCCAAGAGCGAGTCTCATCCGACACTATTCCGAAGATATTCCGGATGTCAGTCTGAGCGAGATTAGAATGGCTCTCCAGCACCTTAAAAACGGTAAGGCCCCAGGCGAGGATGGAATTACAGCGGAGCTTCTGAAAGCGGGTGGAAGACCAGTACTTGAAGTCCTTCAGAAGCTCTTTAATTCCGTCCTCCATGGTGGCATTACACCGGAGGCGTGGAGCAGAAGTGCGGTGGTCTTATTCTTCAAGAAAAGTGACAACGCTCTCTTGAAGAACTACAGACCGATTTCCCTTCTGAGCCGCGTCTACGTGCTGTTTACGAGAGTCATTACGAATCGTCTCGCGCGCAGACTTGACGACTTCCAGCCTCCCGAATAAGCCGGTTTCTGAAAAGGCTTTAGCACCATAGACCACATACATACCCTTCGGCAAATTGTACAGAAGTCCGAGGAGTACAATTTGCCTTTATGTCTGGCGTATGTGGACTATGAGAAAGCCTTTGAATACGTCGAAATTTGAGCGGTGCTGCAGTCCCTTCAGCGATGCCTAGTTGACTGTCGGTATATCGAAGTGCTGAAGTGCTTGTACAGTAGAGCTACGATGGCTATCCGAGTACAGAACCAGAGTACGAAACCTATCCAATTGCAGAGAGGTGTAAGACAGTGTGATGTGATATCCCCGAAACTCTTCACCGTTGCATTGGAAGACATTTTCAAGCTTCTGGACTGGAAAGGATACGGTATCAACATCAATGGCGAGTACATCACTCACCTTCGATTTGCCGACGATATAGTCCTTATGGCAGAATCGCTGGAGGACCTAAGCACTATGCTCAATGACCTCAATAGTGTTTCCCAACGGATAGGTCTTAAGATGAACATGGACAAAACAAAGATCATGTTTAATGTCCATGTCACACCTATGCCGGTAGTTGTTGGGAGCACTAAGCTCGAAGTTGTTGACGAGTATGTTTACCTGGGACAAATAGTCCGACTAGGTAAGTCCAACTTCGACCGAGAGGTCAATCGACGGATTCAACTCGGCTGGGCAGCGTTCGGGAAATTACGGTACATCTTCTCGTCAGGTATACCTCAAAACTTGAAAACAAGACTGTACAACCAGCGCGTGTTGCCAGTGATGACCTATGGTACTGAGACGTGGTCCTTCACTGCTGGCCTGATGAGGAAGCTCAAGGTCGCTCAGCGAGCTATGGAGAGAGAGGGCTCTGCTCGGAGTTTCTCTGCGTGATAAACTTAGGAATGAGGATATCCGCAGTAGAACCAGAGTGACCAACGGATTAGTAAGCTGAAGTGGCAATGGGCCGGCCATATAGCTCGATGAACCGACAACCGTTGGGGAAAAAAGGTTCTCGAGTGGCGGCCTCGTACCGGCGGACGAAGTGTAGGGCGTCCTTCCACTAGATGGAGTGACGACCTGGTAAGATATGCAGGAAGTCGATGGATGCACGTGGCTCAGGACCGTGCTTTGTGGCATTCCTTGGGGGAGGCCTATGTTCAGCAGTGGACTTGTGAAGGGCTGTAATGAAATCAAAAAAAGTAGTTACTCCTATTAACTTTCTAACCGTAAATTATTATTAACTTTATTACTACATTCTTTTATTATCAAATTATTCGAAAGAAAAACGAATTTATTGTATAGTATAATGACAAACGACGTTACTTTTACCCGCTATTTTTGGTACATCACTACAAAAATAAACAATTGATCTATCCTCGTAACAGCGTAGTATGGTTTTAAAAATATTGTTTTTTATTTATTTAACATTAAATTTAGCGCAAAAATATAATTTTAATTTTAAGTGGTAATCCGTTAGTATGGCAAATAATATTTTTTTTACATCTTAAGTTCAATACCACTTCAAAGTTATGTCGTCCGTTTGATCACGACCTGTTAGGATCGCATTCTTTCGTTGGCCGCACTCTAATGAATGTATTTTTTATGATACATATATACATATAGTCCAAGATCCCAGGGCTACCAGACGTCACTTATTCTCTGGCGAATGAAATCTGTATGATTGAGTAGTGTTAGTATGTACTATGATCGTATGGCTACCCGCTAACTTGGCCAGAGAGCCATTTTCCAGGTATCAGGTAATCAAGGTACGTAAAAACATTGCCTCACGTTAATTCTCCCAGCTGATTTTTACTTAAGTGTTAGATAATATCGTTAAAAATCAATTATCAATACTCCCAGACACTTTTCATCGGCAGTATCGCTTTGCAGACGCTTTAAACTCTCAAAAAAAATTGCTCAATTTCACTTACATTCTGAAGCTCCATTTTTATATATGTTAGTCAGACAACTATTTTAAAACGCTTTACAAGAAGGCAGACCGATCCATTCTTATTTTCAATAAATAAAAACGGTATATCATAATTATATATTTAAATTTAAGTTTAAAATTTGGCTACTCTGAAAAATAACCCTATATATTGAGTCAGGATCTGTTTCATTATAGAGACTGCTGTAAAAGCAGAAGACTTGGAGATTGATGCTATTGGAGACAGACAGACGGATTCGGAGGACGACTTGCTACTAAATGCATTTGATTCAAAGAGTAAAGAGCAATCTAAGACTGCAAAATTAAAACAGAAGAGCAGAGATAATAAAAATGATGACGATGATACAGGTAAAGAAATTTATTAAAAAAAAAAAACAGTATCAATAAAAAACACATTAGAAATTTCTCCTGGATGATGTAGTTGGAGATGTACTGTATATACAAAACTTTGTTCTTTAATTACACATGAACAGCCAGAACCAAAATGATTATTTAAAGACCATAAAATTATCTAGTTTCATGCAGAAACTGAATTCGCCAGTGAGACCCAAGATGTTATAAAATAAAACAGGACCACCACACTTTCACAGCATACCAGCGTAAAATAACAGCTGGATGCTGCTGTGTCATGTATTGTGAGTGTAGAGAACCGGAGACCCTTTTTCTTTTGAAGCAATTTGAGTTAGTGCTGTAGCTTAGGAAATGATGGAACTGGCATACAATAAGCGGTAAAAGTCCCTTAAATATTTATATAATACAAAACACCTTAGTCTTCATAGCTGACCACGCATCTACATTTTGATTCTTAATGGGATGTAGATATCTTTGGTTAAAGCATCCTCTTACCGTCAGGTGGACTGTGTGCCCGTTTGTTATCCATAGTCTATAGAATACTTTATTTATGAAGAAGTTGTCTGCTTATAATCTATAATGATACATTTACACCATCAGTATAACGAAATCAAATGTCGAACATTAAAACTGACTTAACCATGATTCCCAGCATATTTTATTTTCCACAGTAGCACTGCTGGTCAAACGCACTTTGGATTCCAACCCAACCAGAGACAATGTTAGTGTAAAAAAGAATGCTGAATTTGACGGCCAGGTGGCCTTGAAATTGTAATTCAACAATTTTATGGGTGCCAGCGAAAATTGAACACGGGTACAGTACGAGAGCAGTACTGTGATATTTTACGGCAAACGCCTAGCCCCAGAGCTACCAGGGCTTTTTTTAAGTGTTTTATGGATCCATCTTAATCGTACCGTAAACATCCACTGCTGATCATGGAAGCAGCTCCCCCGATGTAGGGAGGATTTGCTTTAATCATCACGCTTGGCATATGGTTGAGGATCGCATACCAGACGTGAGCACCTCTGACTATGTTGCCTGTCGCCGGTTTGGTTATTTTACGTCTGAAGTAAACGAGGTGGTTTTACCACCATTTGTCGGAAGCCATAAGATTTTTCTGGCAAACCCATAGTCGCCTATTACGAAACCCACGGACAAAATGTGATGATGAATTATCTTACGCCGCACTTCACGGCATCTTCGACCATATTATATATTTACTATTTACGAAAAAATACGTATCAAAATGTATGTTTGCATAACAGTAATTATTAGATTAATGTGATTTTAACATGGTGAGAAGAACGTCATCGTTATCATTCGAATTTAGTTTCTCTACCATTCCTCAAAAAATGAATATGAGAGACACTATTCAGAGTAATTGGCTAAAATACTTTACATCTAGCATCATTATGTAATATTGTAATTTATCTATTTCTGCCTGGGTTGACTGATAGAGAATGCCATAAAGCATAAACTTCGCCCAATGTTAACCGTTTAAGCTGTCTTACAATCAATTAAATGGTTAATTCGTGTGTATTTCAGAACAACACATCATAACGACAAATAATTTTTCAAAACCGTCTAAGAGAAATATTAAATCAAATTCTACTGATTGTAACATAAACGATGTTCGCAAAGGAAACCTCGATTTAGAAAGCCCTACTATTAAATCAAAGCCTAAACTGAAAGAAGATAATCAACCAATCAATAAAAAAGGAAAGCATCCTGCAAATATTATGAAAAAAAAAATTTTGAAACAAAAGAGTGTAAATATACTTACGACAAAAACATCAGAGGCATCAACAAAAGAAAGTCTCGCCAAACACATTCTAAACAGTCATGAGACGCAAAGGAACTCGGTCACCACTGCAGTTCGGACACAAGTTGAACAAAGTCCAGTACCACAACTAACGGAAATATTTAATTGTGATATTTGCAAATTTAAAACATCTCAAAAACGTTGCATTTTGGCACATCTTAAAGCACACGTCGCTAAACAAGTGTACTGTTGTAATAATTGTGATTATAAATGTACATATAAAAGTATTTTGCAAATGCATATGAAAATACATACCACAGAAAAACCTTATTCGTGTAATATCTGTGAATATAAATGTATAACAAAAACTAGATTGAAAGATCACATAAATATACACACTGGAGAAAAACCTTATTCATGTAATATCTGTGAATATAAATTTATTTCTAAATGTAGTTTGCAAAAGCATATGAAAAGAAGACACACAGGAGAAAAACCTTTTTCGTGTAATATCTGTGAATATAAATGTATAACAAAATGGATTTTGAAAACACATATGAAAATACATACTGGAGAAAAACCTTTTTCGTGTAATATCTGTGAATATAAATGTCTTTTAAAAGGTAATTTGCAAAAGCATATGAAAAAACATACTGGAGAAAAACTTTTTTCGTGTAATATCTGTGAATATAAATGTATTACAAAAGGTTATTTGAAATCACATATGAAAAAACATAACACAGAAAAAGCTTTTTCGTGTAATATCTGTGATTATAAATGCTCATATAAAATCTGTTTTCAAACACATATGAAAAAACATACCGGAGAAAAACCTTTTTCGTGTAATATCTGTGAATATAAATGTACTACAAAAGTTAGTTTGCAAACACACATGAAAAAACATACCGGAGAAAAACCTTTTTCGTGTAATATATGTGAATATAAATGTATTACAAAAGGTAGTATGCAAACACATATGAAAATACATACAGGAGAAAAACCTTTTTCGTGTAATATCTGTGAATATAAATGTATTACAAAAGTTAGTTTGCAAACACATATGAAAAAACATACCGGAGAAAAACCTTTTTCGTGTAATATCTGTGAATATAAATGTACAACAAAAGGTATTTTGCAAACACATGTGAAAATACATACCGGAGAAAAACCTTTTTCGTGTAATATCTGTGAATATAAATGTATTACAAAAGGTAGTTTGCAAACACATATGAAAATACATACTGGAGAAAAACCTTTTTCGTGTAATATCTGTGAATATAAATGTATTACAAATAGTAATTTGCAAAAGCATATGAAAATACATACCCGAGAAGAACCTTTTTCATGTAATATCTGTGAATATAAATGTATTACAAAAAGTAATTTGCAAAAGCATATGAAAATACATACCCTAGAAAAACCTTTTTCGTGTAATATCTATGAATATATGTAGATGTATTTCAAAAAGTCATTTGCAAAGGCATATGAAAATACATACCGGAAAAAAACCTTTTTCGTGAGCAATCTGGTAAAATATGTACATATTATGTAAACGTGTTTTTTATGAATATAAAAGTGTACCAGATAAAAATCAATTTTGTCATTGAGTTTTTTATAAAATTATAGAACGAGTAGAAAAACCTTTCCATGCATAATGTTGCTGCCTTTATGTGCTAATTGTAACTGCATTTATTCTACAGAAGCTAAACCAAAAACAAGTGGTAAAATTTAAAAAAAAATACAGCGTAATGGCCGCCTAGCGCTTCATTTTACGCATTTTGACAGATGCAACTTTTAAAACGTAAGAATTTAGTGTAATTTAATTTGCGTTTCAGGTATTTATTAGTGACTAGCTGTGCCCGCGGCGTAGCTCGCGTATACAGGTTTTACATAAAGAATTTGTCGTTTAGGTAAGAGAATATAAAACGATTTATTTCATTACTATATCAATAAGTGGTAACTAAATAAATCATTATCATCAAAGTTCTAAGTCGTTTATGATAGAGCTTCTGTGTAAACGACGTTAGAAGTAGGCTTAGCCGGGGTGTACACAAAAAGGTTACGGGGGCTACTAACGCGGGAAAAAGCAACATAGAGTTGGCCATGTGCAAAACAGTCAGTACTGAGGTACACTCCTACAACGCGTAAAGTTTGACCTTGCGCTTTATTTACGGTCATCGCATAACACACGCTCACTGTAACTGGGAACTGAACGCGCTTAAAACTGAAAGGAAAGTTACTTCTTAATAGAGGGTTTTTGGGCAGTGCTGCCAGATAAAAAAAAACTCATTCAGCTCTAGGACAACACAAAAAGCGCTAGATTTCATGAAAACAGCGCTTTAAAAAAGCCCTAGATTTCGCGCTAAATTAACTACAAAGAAAGTTTGTGTTTTTTTATATAATCATAATAAAGAAAACAACATTAAGTTTCTTTTCTGGCAATATTTTTTTGATGTATCAATACTTCGCAGGACATCGACTTATAATTATGGCAATTGCTGTCAACAGTAGTTAGTACTGTACGAACAATAAAAATGTCATAAATTGTTTTAAAGTGCAATGTATTTCGCAACTTAGTTTCAAATGTCAGCATCTAATTGCGGTTGCTACACAGTTTCTTTGTGTTATAACTTCTAAGTAACTTTTAACTTAGCTGTGCTCTAAGCAACTGACTGAAACTGAATAAAGCAAAATAAATGCGTTGCCAAAACCATGACCGAAAACTTTAATAAAGGGGATTTCCCCGCTTATAGTCGTCGGTAAAAAAATCAAGTTGATCATCCTAAAGGGGAAGCCAGGAGATCCATAGCATAGGGTATCCTAGTTTGGACTCGTCTCCCACGCTCTTTGTTTTGTGGAAAAAATATGTTTGAAAAAGATAAACTGCAATGTACTATTTCTGGGAAAAATAATAAAGGTCATTATTATTATTATCGGTAATGTGGACTAACAGAGCTGCTATAAAAGAGTTAGATAGACCGCTAGTCGCTACAATTTTGAAATGTGTGCTAAATACACCAAAAAGCGCTGGATTAAGCGCTAGGTGCTAAAATTTCGAAATGCGCGCTATACATTCCAAAAAAGCGCTAAATCTAGTTCCCAAAGCGCTAAAATAACAGTACTGGTTTTGCGTATATTATAAATACAATATCACGACATTTCGTTGCAAAATTTTTATTTTTGGTCGGGTTCCGTTGTATGGCTTCGATGGATACAAATTTCTTCAGTAAGTCTCAATACGATTCATCGGCGAAAAATCTCAACACAGCAATTCAGAAAAGTTTGTAATTTGTACAACTCCATCCATTACGTCCTTTGTGTGAGAAAACATCCTTTTTAAATCTCTTTTTGTGTTTTAAGTATTTCCATAATATTAATTATTATGGAACGTTTTTTTTTACACACAAATCTTTTTATTACTATTTCTGAGATTTTATGGCGCCATTGAACAAATCCGACCCCACATTTCAAAATAATAATCATTACTTTCGATAGAATTAACCAATTTTAATAAAACAAAGATTAAATGCAACTCGAAGATACGCTTTATGATTTTCTTAACGATTTCTTTGAAAATAAAAGATGTTTACTTTAGACGTGATGCGTTCATATAATAACAGACAAATAGACAGACAGACAATTCTAAAAATTATAAAATGTTCTTATTTAATTATTTTCAGTTCCCCATAATGATTTTAGCCACCAAAATATATATACAATGTACAGAAAGAGACACAACATGTTATCATCATTTTTATTATATGTATATATTTAAAGAGAGATGGCGCTGCTAACATCAATTCTAAAAATAAAAGAGACTATTTGACGCGATTGATATATTATATAAAACGTAAGAGAACTTATAAATCAGTGCCTGCACAGTAAGCAAAAAATAAAGTTTGACTCTCGCCAAAACCAACGCAATTGTTAATAGCTCTTTTAAAATTTGATTTACCACATAGAGTACTCGGCGGTAAAGAATAAATTGAGTTTGTCAACACGCAGTAGGGCAGCGAGTAATATAATAAAGATTAGCAGTAAATATGAAAACTCATCTACAGGAAAAAACCACATTGCAATTGCATTACATTTTCACAACACCACCATCTATCGAAGAAATGGGTTAACTATTGTGCTTCAGATTTAGTTAATAAGGTTAATATATTTTTGTATAATATATTTAATACGTTCTTTAATACTTTTGTTTACTGCGTTTTAGATATACATAATTATATCATTATTTTACATAATTTAACTATGATTTATGATATGATATTAGTTTAACTCACTCACTTGATGACTCAAACAAAGCCACCGTTGAGCAAATTCGTACCTATACTTCCCTACCCATACTTCAGAATATTTATCGTAACTTTTGATGGAATGAACTGATTTTAATGAAATAAAGACTAAATGTAACCCGAAGATACACTTTATAATTTCCTTAACAATTCTTATGATATAAATTAGTACTTTATACGTGATACGTTAACAAACAAACAGACAGACAGACAGACAGACAGAAAATTCTAAAAATGGTAGAAATGTATTTAATTACTTATTTTTAGTACCCCTCAATCACTTTTATGACAAAAACATAAAATGTACAGACATCTGCTATTTACAGTTTTATTATATGTATAGATTTACAAATATTTTTAGAAAATGATTTTCAATATTTCGACGCTTTAAGGACGAGAGAAATGAAACACTTGAGTGTTGACGTAATTACGCCTGTAATTACGTTATTGTTAAGTTTATATATTAGATTATACCCAAACATACGTATAGATACTATACTAGAATTATTTTGTCCGTGCAGTTTGGGTCATAAATCATCGGAGTATTTTGCTCTATCTCTCCCACGGGCCTTAGGGGCGAGCATAGTGATGCGCATTATTGTTGTCGATAAGCGTTATCGATAGCGTATTTAGTTTTGTCATTATG